TTTCCTTCATGAGGATATCTGCTGAGTGGTGTCACCACTCTGATCTGATCCAAACAGCCAGGAACTCCACGGATTCCACCTTTTTGAAAAGAGGTATCTGCTAAAGAAGATCTTGCCTTCGACACTTTGAGCTTCAGACTGAACGTGATGTTTGTGGCAAGTATGGTGGAATCCCCTGTGGTGGGGGTGTTCAGTGCTCTACGCTCCCTCGGTGCTACTGGATAGAAATGAGGTGTTGTCAAACATGGTGAAGTTAGAAAAGTTGAACCCTCCTGTGAAGATGCTGCAACCAATCAGGGACTGGTTGTAGGTGATTTTTTTCTTTTTATGGTATACAGAGAAATTTAATGATAAAGTTAGGAATAAAGAATGATTTGTAGGTGGCTTTTGACCAAAAAAAAAAGCCATTTTAATTTAGCTTCAGAAGCGCTGCTTGTCATCCTCCCTTACCTCCAGCACAGGCCCAGTCTGTCACTGCCCAGTAGCTCCGCTTTTTCCACATTGGTAGATTTCAAAGGAAGTACTGCTGAATCCGACCGCCATCCAGACGCAGTTCTGGATGTATCAAAGTGAACTCTTTTTCAGTGCTTCCCAGACTTTTAGTAAAATGTACGGTACTCCCAGGTGATGCAAACGTTGTGAGTAGAGAACAATTTAGCAGCAGTCCATGGGGTTTAGTTTAACCTGTGCTTTTAGTCTAAAATGCAGATATTGAGTACTTTGGAAAAAAAATGACATGTGGTTGTCAGGGGTAACAGCAGGTCTGGTGACTTTTTAAATATGAATCAATCATTGCACCAATGAAATAAGGTAAACATGTCCATTGTTATATTGGATTGAAGAGCCTGACGTGGTTGAAGCAGCCTTGGTGCCATCGGCAGGTTTAGCAGCGATGCCGGAGAAGGTGTGGAAGCCGGAGGGGGCCGGGAGGAGCCGGCTGGGGATGGTTCAGCATTTGGCAGGGAAACATCTCCTCATTTTCACCTGCAGAGGGCTGTGTTTCCATTCTAGATTCCAAGGATTCCCTGGGAACACTCTTAGAGGAGCCTCCATTCACGCAGAGCTCTAGTTTCTATTGGCGCAGTACAGCATGAAACCCCCCAGGCCAACAGCTTTGTCCAGTACTGCTGGACGCAGCCAACATACCTCCTTTTTTGAAGAGAGTTCGAGTCTGAGATTATCTCCAGCAGGCGTTGGTGATCATAGATGCGCGATTGATGTCTAGTTTGTATAATTTTAAGCTGCATATTTTGTGAAATTGTCGAGAGGAGCTTCTCTTGGCCGCTGCCTTGGAGCGCCGCCATGGTAACATGGTATGCCAAATGAAGAGCAGTGAACTCAACGCGGACCTCTAAGAAACCACTGCAGACACCACATTCGGTCTGAACACATCATTAGCAATTCCAGCCATCTTCTTATCCACATCCGGGTTTTCCATCAGGCTCTCAGTGGGGATGGTTTCTACCTCCAGCAGTCTATGGGGGAAAGGTGGGCTACACCCTGAACCATTCAACTAAAAAACATCATCTGTAGAGTAGTTTAAACATGTTTGATGATAAAAGTGGAGGTCCAAGCCTTTCTAGACGACACCACAGCATTAAACGGCCCTTTATAACATGTGGTGTGATGTCAGAGCTGCAGTGAATGCTGGGAAATGTAGTTCTATTCTGGTTATATGCAGCTTGATCAAAACATGGAAGGTTAAAGTGAAGTGTCCTTTCTTTAACCTGCAATTCAAATTCTTTCTCCTGTGTTTGTTTTTCCAGACCGCCTGCAGGATTATGTTGGAAAAGAAGAGGTTTTCCCTGAGCAGCAGTTCTCTGAACAGGAGAGGAATTCCAGTTTGGACCAAGCAGAACCAGAACTTCTGCAGATAAAAGAAGAGCAGCAAAAGCCAGAACATCCCTGGATAAAAGTGGAAACCATGGAGCTCCCAATAGGTAAAGTTTGAACGCACCATTAGCAGTGAAATTATTTAAAACTGAGTGATGTTGCACACCTAGATTTTTCTGCAATTTCCCTCCTGCTCCAAACCACCTTCAAGATTTTCCAGAGGTGATGTAGTAGTTTCTGGCAGCGCTTGGACACTTATACCCCATTTACACTACCCTTGAAAAACCGTGCCGAGACCGGTCCGAGCTCAGTAACTGAGATAACTTATCGTGTGTAAATGGAAAGTAAACTGATCTTAAACGAGCTAGACACAACCGGACCGAGCTAACTGCAGACCAGTTCCAGAGGTGGGCTCGGCTCGGTTCTCTGATAACAAGAGCGCATAAACAGAACGCGTCATCTCCGTCTGGCTGCACATCCCCATTCACACTCCATTCCAGTAGGTGGCGGTAATGCCCCTCCAAAAACAGAAGAACAACAACTTCTTCTTCTACTATAAACAACAATCGAAATCTTCTCCACGCAACATTTTAAATAATGGCATTTTAACACCGAAGTACAGCAATAATAATCAGGCATAACTTTCTGAATGTGACGGGCGCCGCCATTTTGATTTGCTTGATTCCATCCTTCAATACTGGCAGTAATACCGCAGATCGTCACTAGGAGTCGAGGAACCGAGATAGCGTGATGTGTAAACGGTCGTCAGAACCGAGCTCGGCTTGGTTAACTGATCTGAGCTTGGACCGGTCTCGGCATGGATTGGTTTTTCAAGGGTCGTGTAAATGGGGTAAATGTGGTTCATCAGGGTTGTGTGAAAGAAGAAGTTTATGTTCTTTATTGAACACATGAAGTTGCCGTTGTGCTTGTCCCCTACTAGCTTCTTAGTGAAAGTAAAAGGGTTGGTAATAAAGGCTTTAGACTTCCTTTCTCTTTCCTTCCCTCGCCGCTGGTGCACAAATTTCAACATGTTCACTTTCAAGTTGTAATTCTGCACAAGCTGTAAGCATTTTTGCTACCTCCAGTTTGGACTGCTGTGATCAAGATGAGCTTTCGGAGGCATTCAGGAAACGTTCTGTTGATCATTCACATCATTCTTGAGGATGCACTTTCATTTACATGTTTTGTTACTGAGGCTGACATACACATGTTGGTATGTCTAATTTCATGTTTGAAAATATTTGACTTTGCTCCACAATTACCTTGGCAGATTCTAAAATTTTATTTTTTTATTTACGAGATGCTTTTTTTTTTTTTACTTTTGCTGTGGTTATTTTTAAGGATGCACTCTTTTTGATCACATTTTCTTTTGCTAAGTGACTGTTAGTGCACTAGGGGTGGAACGGTTCACAAAATCCACGGTTCGGTTTGGTTCATAGTTTCGCGGTCACGGTTTTCGGTTCGGTATATGTTGATTGTTACACTGAAAAATAAAAAAAATTATAAAAATTAATGAAAAAATAAAAATTGGACTTCCGGGAGCGTTTTCAAGATGGCAGGTTGAACTTGTAACCTCTCCTGATCAGCGACAAGGAAAACTCCACAAAACTCGATAAAGAAATTCAATTCTTCGTCAAAATGATATATAATGCATGGAGTTAGATCAAAAAAGAGAACGGGGGGTGCTGAAAATCACAACCGGGCAGGGACTGAACTAACAAACATTGATAGCAAAGCTAACACGATGCAGACCTCGGACCCTAATGAGGAGAGTGAACTAACGACTGCTAAGGCTATCCAGAATCTATGCAACAATATCAAAGAAATGCAAAATGACATCATTGCTATGAAAAATGATATCAAGCAAGACCTGAGCAGCTTTAAGAGTGAAATAAACAAGAAACTGGAGGAGGTTAGCTCGAACATCTGTAACCAAGCTGCTAGGCTAACGGAAGCGGAGCAACGGGTGAATGAACTGGAGACTGTGAATATGGACTTGAGAGATTCTTTCTCTTACTGCCTCAAACAGCAAAAAACTCTCCAGGATAAAGTTACCGATTTAGAAGGAAGATCCCAACGTAATAATATCCGCATTTATGGCATTAAAGAAGAAGCTGAAGGCAACGCCATGCAAACGTTCATTGAAAACTTCCTGAAAGAGCAGCTCTCCATCAACCAAGATTTGCAGATTCAACGAGCTCATCGTTCACTGGGACCGAGGCCGCAAGATGCGTCAATTTCAAGATCCATACTCGTCAACTTTCACAGATATGACACGAAAGAAAAAGTCCTTAAAGCAGCGTGGGGGAAGAAGATATTTTATGAAGGTAAACTGATCTCATTTGCGCACGACTTACCAACCGAGATAAATAATAAGCTTAAGGAATACAAAAACATCAAGAAGATTCTCAAAGAGGGGAGAATACGGTTCCAAACACCTTACCCAGCTAAGATGAGGATTCACTGGGATGACGGACCACACCTGTACGCGAGTGCTTCGGAAGCAGCGGCCGACATGAGGAAGAGGGGATACAAGGTCGACATGCCGCAATCTTCCACCGCAAATGAAGAACCAGCGATTACCCAGGATCCAAACTGGAATAAAGCCGGCACCTCGCTCTCCAAACGGGTGCGCGAGTCGCTCCGAGAATTTCAGCGAGAGCAAGTATAGAAAAACCTTCCTGATGTAGATCCTGAACTCTTATGTAAGTAATAAGAAAATATTATAGAGGACCGGAACCCCACGAGATAATTATTTCTCTAGGCTTAACACCCGGCACCCTACCACCCCTTTTTATTAATTTTTTATTATTATTAATAATTTATTTATGTGTGTATGCGTGTATATATACGTGTGTGTGTGTGTGTGTGTATATATATATATATATATATATATATATATATACATGTGTATGTATGTATGTGTGTATGTACGTGAATTTATGTAGATATATATATATATTTTTATTTATTTATTTTTATTTTTTTGTATTTACTTATCAATATATTATTTATTTATTTTATTATGTATATATATATATATATATATATATATATATATATATATATATATATATATATAATTTTTTATTTTTTTTTTTGCTTTTTTGCAACCACCTCCCCCTCTTACAGGTAATAATATTGTCCTGATCAGGAATAATGGAGATATGACTCTTAAGCTCAAAGGTGAAAGGACTCTGGCTTTGGCAGAGAAGGAGCCCCTAGAGAGAATAGGGCTGTTGCTCCTACAATGTATGAAGAAAGGTTGTATGATGTTGGGGCCTAGTGAAGCCCTGATGATGGAAGTCATCCTGTTTGTTTTATGTTCTTTAAATCTCTGTTCCTTGTGTTCATACTGTCGACATGTACAAACTAGTATACAGGTATGATTAACGGTGATATCAGAGCAGCTTCATGGAATGTTAATGGTCTCGACAACCCTGTTAAGAGAAGCAGAGTAATGTCTAAGATAAAAAGGGAAAATTCAGATACTATTTCTTCAAGAAACTCACTTATCCCCAAAAGAACATGAGAAACTACAAAAATTTGGATTCAGGAATGTATTTTACAGTTCTTTTAAGACAACTCATAAAAGAGGAGTCGCGGTGTTAATACATAATTCTTTACATTTTGAACTCATAAAGCAAATATGCGATAAAGAAGGCAGATATATACTGGTTCAGGGTAAAATTGAAGGGAGTCTGGTTACCCTCCTCTCTATCTATATGCCTCCAAATTATGACCTTCATTTTTTGAAAAAAGTGCTAGAAGTTATCTCAGTAGAATCACAGGGTATTTTAATTTGTGCAGGTGACTTTAACACAATCCATCTAATAACAAACGAATAGAAACACCACAAAGTAAATTACTAAAGAGGGGTATGGACAATATCGGCCTACTGGACGCTTGGCAGGAGATGCATCCAACGGAAATAGATTTTACCTATTTTTCTCCCCCCCACGCTGTATTTTCAAGAATAGATTTTTTCTTGATTTTTAAGAATGACCGACATAGACTAAAAAGCTGTGATATCGGTACTAGGAACTTGTCAGACCACTCGCCAGTATACTTAACACTTAACCTGGATATAAGACCCAAAAAAACCCACATGGAGGTTAAACACAAGCTTGCTAAATAATAAAAATGTTATAAAAGAAATAAAAACAGAAATAAAATATTTTCTAGAATTCAATGACAACGGAGAGGTCAACCCTAATATTTTATGGGACACATTGAAGGCAGTTATAAGAGGCAAGTTTATATCATTAAGTTCCGCTATGAAGAAAGAGAAGGAAAAAGAACTAAATAAATTGGAAACCAAGTTAAAAGACTTGGAGAACTTGCAAATCAAAAATAAACTTGATTATATTAATGCACAAATCCAAGAGACAAGGAGTAAAATTTTGGATATACATAAAAGAGAGGAAGAAAAAAATTACAAATTCCTAAAACAATCATTTTATGAAGCTGGGCCAAAGGCAACAAAACTACTAGCAAGAAAAGTTGACAAAAAGCAAATGATGCACTCAATTTGCTCCATAACTGACCCACAGACAGGAATAGCAGAAAACAGTTTGGATGGTATTGATAAAGCTTTTCAAACATATTATAGAGAACTTTATGCGCAACAAGATCAAAGTAAAATAGAGGATGTCAAGGCATTCCTCAACTCATTGGACTTGCCAAGAATTGGAAAATGTCAGAACAAAAGTTTAACTGAACACATCACTGAAAAGGAACTGAAAATGGCAATAAAAAAATTAAAAAATAATAAATCACCCGGTACTGACGGTCTTCCAGGCGAATGGTATAAGACATTTGAAGAACTATCCCCTGTATTACTAAAATCATTAAATTGGACATTAGGAAAAATGACAACACCGCCATCATGGTCTGAAGCAATTATAACAGTAATACCAAAAGAAGGAAAAAACAAAAATGTATGCAGTTCATATGGACCAATCTCGATCCTTAACCAAGATTACAAACTATATGCATCTATCTTATCCAATAGGCTAAAAGCGTTTGTCCCTGATCTGGTTGACGGGGACCAAACCGGGTTTGTCTCTGGCCGACAAACTAAGGATAATATCAGACGCTCACTTCACATAATTCATAATATTCAAACAAATAATCATTCAGCAGTAATAGCAAGCTTAGATGCGGAAAAGGCTTTTGATCGTGTGAATTGGGAGTACTTATTTCTAGTTTTGGAACGATTCGGTTTTTCACATATCGCAATCAACATTATTAAAACTTTATACTCGTCACCAACAGCTAGAATCAAGATAAACGGCCGCTTGACAGACACAATAAAGCTGGAGAGATCCACTCGACAAGGCTGCCCGCTCTCTCCAACTCTTTTTGCACTTTATATAGAACCTCTCGCCCAGGCAATTAGGGAGAACAATGATATTCATGGCATAGTAATAAATTCAAGAGAACATAAAATAGCACTGTATGCTGATGACATCCTCCTATATCTCCAGAGCAATCCATTCTGGCCGTCCTAAAGGTACTAGACATATTTGGCAGCTACTCGGGATACAGACTTAATATGTATAAAACACAGATTATGTATTTTAACTACTACCCATCGGGTGAGCTTAAAGATAAAATCCCTACTGACTGGTCTAAGAAAACAATCAAATACTTGGGTATATGGTTGACATACCTTTTAAACGACCTGTACAAAAAAAACTTTGAAACTGTAAATAGGAGAATTAAACAAGACCTCACGCAGTGGTCGGGATCTATATTTGATTTTAATTCAAGAATTGAGGTAGTTAAGATGTCAGTATTACCTAGGTTATTATACTTATATATTTCCTTGCCTATTAGAATCCCTCACTCTCAGTTTTGTGAGTGGGACAAATTGATATCTCGCTTTATTTGGAAGGGGAAAAAACCCAGGATTAGATACAGCACTCTTACAATTAGGAAAGAAAAAGGGGGGTTATCACTCCCAAATCTTTATGATTACTACCTTGCAGCCCAACTCAAAACAGTAGCACAGTGGTGTGATCATACTTACGAGGCTGGGTGGAAAGACTTAGAAACCAAGTGTGGAAACATTCCAATACAAGCTCTGATTGGGGATCAGAAACTTGCAGCTGCATGCCGGAAAAAATTAGACCCCCGAGTGTCATTCACCCTTTTGACCTGGTTTGAAGTGGTCAAGAAATTAAACTTGAATAACCAGATACCAATTCTTAAATGGGCTGCCTATGACTCAGATTTCACCCCTAACCAATTAGATTCCAGTTTTAAAAGCTGGTCACAGAAAGGAATAACAGCTTATTGCAGGATACTGGACAAAAATACACTACCAAGCTTCCACACATTTCAACAAAAATATGGTTTAGGAAAAGGGGACTTCTTTAGATATTTGCAACTTAGACAATATTTTTTTTCAAACATATTAAAAGACTCCATCTCAGAAACTAACGAGATAAGCCTGACAAGATTACCATCTCCAAACTTTATCAGGGATTGTTGAGATCCAGAGGAGTGTCAACAGATTACATTAGAAAAAGATGGGAGGATGAGTTGAAAACTGAAATATCACAAGAACAATGGGACAATATGTGTGAATCTGCTGCTTCAACCTCCTCCTCAAACTATTGGCGTGAGTTCAGTTGGAAAAATTTGCTGCGTTTTTTTAGGACACCGAAGCAGCGGTTTCATGGAAACCCGAATGCTTCTAAATGCTGGAGAGGATGCGGGGATGAAGAGGCAAATCACTGTCATATTTTCTGGTCCTGCATAAAGATCAAGTCTTATTGGAAAGACGTTTTGGAGAAGGTTGAGACAATTTTAGATCTTAAACTCCAACAACCTACCATGTTCTCATTGCTTGGAGCTGTTCCTGAGAGTTTGAATGTGAGTGACAAATATTTACTAAAAATCTTCAGTGCTACAGCCAAGAAACTGATCACTCGAAAATGGCTACAACCTGACCAACCAACAATAAAGAACTGGCTGGAACTGGTGGAGGAAACCCACAAAATAGAAAAGTTAACATTCTTGCTGAGACTGCAGTCGGATCTTTATAAAAAGAGATGGAGCAAATGGACTAGATTTCTAGAAAACAATAACTGATCAGGTCACTTGTACTGTCACTTCAAAAGCTGCTCAAAAATCCAAAGATCGAAATGTAAATTTGTATGCTGTTTTCATCCTGTATCTTTTCATATTTATCAGAATGTAAGTAACTCTTCTTGTCGACAGTGGTTTTCGTTCTGTGTTCTGTATGTGATTGTTAATGAAACGCATTCAATAAACATAAAGTATAAAAAAAAATAAGAAAAATAAAAAAAATTAATGAAAAAATCCCAAAATATTAATAGTAATTATTTTTAATGATCCGCGGAAGCCCTGGATCATTTCTGCATGTTTTGCTGCTTTGAATTGAATCATCTGGCGCATGCTCTCTACCATCTCCAAGGAACTCAGAGCGGAGCGACGGGAGCCACAATGGAGGCTGTAGGCTTTGCTTTGAGCAGCCGGTCTGGAGCTCAGCGGGGCGGAGCGCTGACGGAGTATGTGGGATTTCAGGGTTAGCATGACATGTTGGTCATTTTGCTGTTAGCATAAACAAAAACGTGTTGCACAATGCTTGCACACTGTTGCACTTTTATCCACAACTTTCTTTCCGCCGTCATCGTAGGTCACTCTAAATGCAAAGTGGTCCCATACAGCAGACCTATAAAGTGCTGCTGGCGCGTCTTCCAACTCCTGTTCTTTCCCACTCGCCATACCCACACAATTCTCCACAACAACTGATTTTTTTCCCTGCTACACCCGGCTACGCTGCTTCGCTTCTTCTTGTTTACTACTGGTGGTTGGCTTTGGTCGCAGTACCGCCACCTTCTGATCTGGAGTGTAAACGCTTCGCCTATGAGAAACAGGAGCAGCGCATGAACCGAACGAAACACACGTGAACCGAACCGAGACAGTCGAACCGAACGGTTCAGACGGTTTTCATATACCGTTCCATCCCTAATAAAAATATATTAAATTTGAGTTACTCATTTCTGTCTTTGTTTTTCCAGACCGCCTGCAGGACTATGTTGGAAAAGAAGAGGTTTTCCCTGAGCAGCAGTTCTCTAAGCAGGAGAGGAATTCCAGTTTGGACCAAGCAGAACAAGAATCTCTGCAGATAAAAGAAGAGCAGCAAAAGCCAGAACATCCCTGGATAAAAGAGGAAACCATGGAGCTCAACATAAGTGAGCACGAAGAGCAGCTTATTTTAAAGCAAGAGACGGAAGATACAGGAGAGAAACCTTTCCCATGTTCGAGATGTGGAGAAAGGTTTCTAAAAAATGAAAATTTATTGGTTCACATGAGAACTAACACATGTCAGAAGATTTACAAATGTCTGTCCTGTGGAAAAAGCTTCACTCATAAATCAAATCTTTATAGACATGCCAAAACTCACACAGGTGAGAAGCCTTTCAAATGTGAGACCTGTGGAAAAAGCTTTTTTCGGTCTTCTGATCTTAATAAACACACCACAACTCACACAGGTGAGAAGCCGTTCAAATGTGTCTTTTGCGGAAAAGGCTTTTCTCAGACATCTGATCTGTATAAACACACCAGAATTCACACAGGTGAGAAGCCATTCTCCTGTAGTATTTGTGGCAAAAGTTTTATTAGAAAAAATAGCTTGACATCCCACATGAGAACTCACACGGGTGAGACGCCTTTCAAATGTGAGTACTGTGGAAAAGGCTTTACTGAAAAAGGTGCTCTTCATAAACACATCAGAATTCACACAGGTGAGAAGCCGTTCTCCTGTACTCTTTGTGGCAAAAGTTTTATAAGAAAAAATAGCTTGACATCCCACATGAGAATTCACACGGGTGAGACGCCATTCAAATGTGTGTCCTGTGGAAAAAGCTTTACCGAAAAAGGCACTCTTAATAAACACATGAGAATTCACGCAAGTGCAAAGCTCTATAAATGTGACTTCTGTGGAAAAGGCTTTTCTCATAGATTTGTTCTATGTAACCACACCAGAATTCACACAGGTGAGAAGCCGTTCTCCTGTACCGTTTGTGGCAAAGGTTTTATTAGAAAAAGTAGCTTGACTTCTCACATGATAATTCACACAGGTGAGACACCTTTCAAATGTGTGTCCTGTGGAAAAAGCTTTACTGAAAAAGGCTCTCTTGACAAACACATCAGAATTCACACAGGTGAGAAGCCGTTCTCCTGTCCTCTTTGTGGTAAAAGTTATAGTCAACATGGTAGTTTGAGTTATCACATGTCAACTCATGTGTGAAATGATTGCCATCCATGAAACAGATCTTAAAAAGAAAGATATTTATTGGTTTACACAAGAAGTTACATCAGTTGATGCTACAGAAATGAAAAGGAGACTTTTTCCTTGTTTTACCTGTGATAAAATGTCCATCTAGAAACTCATTACAACGGTTTCTTTTTTTATTCAGTAGATGATTTAACACTAAGACTCCAAGAATTGTAATCGTACTAGAACTGCCACTGGCCGTCAATTTGACGGGTGACATTTTTCCCAATGAAACGCATGAGTAGTGATGATGTCATCAACTGAAATGGTTCTAGTTGTGATATAAACCCATTGTGGATATGTAAACCTTAAGCAGATCTAATATATATTTTTTAATGGCTATATTGTATGCTGTTATTATTTGTGTTCTAAATTAATATTAAAAATAAATCCGTAGAGTAAGACTGTTTAACTACACAGGTTTAAAGTTTGAAATGACAATTTTATGTACATAAATTGATTGATTCCCCCCAAACATTTCCTGCAGACCACCTTTTCAAATTTATGACAAACGTAATATGACCTTTTTTTTGTGCAGCGCTGAAGCTCCTGGCGCTGTTTTCTGTGCCTCGCAAACGCTGCTCTACTGTGGGGGAGGGGCTGGAAACCTGCGGTTTGCCCGCAACTGTTTTACCAATTCAAGGATAAAATCTCTGCGTAAAAAAGTGACAGTTCCTGAACAAAACCAGAGCGTTTATAGCTGATATTTCCAGGAGATCATAAATTACAGCCACAGGCCACCTTCGCATCAGAACTTTTACAGAATCCTTTCTAATCATCTGATCCGACACATCCACACCGACCTGTGTGTGGTTCTAGTAGACTACGGGCTCTGGTTTGGTTTTTGGGCTGTTGAATGGACCGGCTGAGGTGTGGGCAGTGCTTCAACAAAAGTTTTACTATTGTCTGATACGTCTGCGTTTTCCCAGGGGATGATTGATCATCCTCACACTCGCTGTCAGAATCTGAGCTGCTTCCTCCCCAGTCCTTATTGTTCTCTCCCTCTCCGCTCGAATCACTATCATCAATATTTTGAAGGATTTCTAAAGCCTGTTTCGCTGTTAGAATTCTTCTGAAACCCATTTTTCCGTATTAGCCAAAGAGTTCTATGTAGAATGTTGGTTGCTAGGCAACGGTACTGAATGTCAATCAACCGTGGGAAGAATTTACAATGCAACTAATAGAGCCGTCAAAATGACGGCTGTGGGAGATCAAGGTAGAATTAAACATTTATTTTTTACCTTTAAATTTTATTTAAAAAACTATGTAAAAATGAAGGAAATGTAGAAACAGATAAAGTCGGTTAACATGAGCAGCATAACATTAATTTTAAATGTATTCCCTTTAAAATCTCAGAGCCGTCAAAATGACGGCTGTGGGAGTTCTAGTTTTAATAACCTGCTGTTATTTAGGGAAAATGTCGTCTGTTTTATAGAACTAGTTTTTATTTCATTATTTTCTGTACTCATGTTTCATGTATTCACTTCTAGATTGATGAACCATGCAGAAATAAAAACCTCATGGATTGTAAAAATTGCTTCTTTATATGCTTTAATGTAAATCAAAAACATTCTTTATCTGTTTTCTCTGACATTTTGAGACAACCTAATTCTGTAATATGACTGTTTGATAGTATTAAAATACTTGAGTTAATTAAGGAATGCATCTTTGTGGTCAATGTTTGGTTAATTCACTTACTCAAGATTTAGTTTAAACAGATGAGTTTCTACATGTTAGTCCTTTGGAAGAAGTTGAGACTTCAAATAAACCCTGAACACAGGATGGAGCAGTGAGATCCTGGTTGAACCATCACTGGTTATGCTGCCTTCCTTTCGTATTTAGAGGTTGGAGCTTTTTAGCTTCTACATAAATTCTAAAAACTTTATTCAAAATGATCTAAACATTGCTTAAGCAGGGATGATATTGTAATTGCACTGAATTTGGAAAAGCCTCTCAGGGCTTTTTTCGTCAACTATGATGAAGTTATTTAGTTGATGCTCCTTTTGTTTCATGACTGTAACGAGAACTGATGAGCTAAACATGGATCTTTGATGATGTAAACATGACGACTCATTGGTGAGGGATTTCTGTGACTGGAAGAGACTAAATAAAAATGTTAGCGGGTGGTCTGTCAGATGTTTAAAATGCATCATTGTGCTGTAATCCACCCGGCTGTACCAGCCGTTCTGCTGCAGCCTGTTTGGTCACGCCCCCCACCCGGCGTGCAGCAGTGCACTTTCTGTATAACCACAGAAGGACCATGGTAGCAGTGGCGAGGGTGAAAGTAATCCAGAATGGTCCAGTACAGCGCACTCAACTTTGACAAACTCTGTTCTTCCAGCTGTGCTTTGGCAGATATGCGTCTCTACGCCCACTTTGCTCAGAGTCTGTGCTTTATGCTCCACATTGATGGTTGCTTTCAGCAATATGGCTCTTCGTGCCCTTGCTACTTAATAAACTATATATGGCTGATCATTCTCTGCCAAGCGTAAAAATGTATTTATTTTTTTTTGCATAACAAGATTTTATTTTTTCCAGCTCACAAGAGGTGATGCAAAACCTTCTTTAATTTCTAGCAAAAGCAATCCCTAAATTGTATCGAAATCAAATATTTCATTGCATACTGTTTATTTTTGGAAGACCAGGAATGTTACATAGTTCTTTAAATATTTCTTTCATAGTTCTTACTTCCATGTATTTGAATATTTCAGCATTTTTGTTAACATATTCATGAAATTTAGGTCTGGATTTCCATAATATTACACAGCAATTATAGTCTGATAAACCAGACTAAATGTGTAATTTAGTCTGGCCCAAATGAATGAGACATCGGAAGATTGTTGATGAGAACAACCTGTTGTTTTTCAAACCATGTCTGTGCCTATTGGCCAACGCTCTGACCAATGAGCGCAACAGACTGTGACGTAAGTGTGACAGAAAGCTGGGGGGGGGAGTGTAAACAAACAGCCTGTCGGTAAAACGGCGAAAATGTGCTTCTTAAAAATGAATGAGCGTAGATCAGGTTTCGGCAAAAACCCAAAGTCTAATCATTCCGTAAAAATTCAAAAAATATTTTACGGAATGACTACGACCTGGATGACTGAGAACCTTCATCACCAAAGTCTAATCCTTCCAAAGCTGATTCCAAAGCTGAGTCAAACAAGAACTGTTCAATAGTTGTTGTTGTAGAGACGTGTCAGCCATGACAGCCCGACAACATCCAGAGCTCTAAGATACTCAGGACGGATCTCGTCCACCCCCGAAGCCTTGCCACCGTGGAGTTTTTTGACCACCTCGGTGACTTCAGCCTGGGTGATGAACGAATCCAGCCCCAAGCACCCCATCTCTTCTTCCCCCACGGAAGACGTGTCTGTTGGGTTGAGGAGATCCTCAAAGTATTCCTTCCACGGCCCGACAATATCCTCCTTCAAGGTCAGCAGCTCCCCACTCCCACTGAAAACAGTGTTAGCGAAGCACTGCTTTCCCCTCCAGAGGCGCCGGATGGTTTGCCAGAATCGCTTTGAGGCCAACCGATAGTCTTTTTCCATGGCCTCTCCGAACTCCTCCCAGGTCCAAGATTTTGCCTTTGCAACCACCTGGGCCGCGACACGCTTGGCCTCACGGTACCTGCTTGCTGCTTCAGGAGTCCCACAAGCCAGCCAAGCTCGATAGGACTCCTTCTTCAGCTTGACAGCATCCCTTACTATCGTTGTCCACCAGCGGGTTCGGGGATTGCCACCACGATAGGCACCCCAAACCTTACGGCCACAGCTACGGGCAGCCGCATCGACAATAGAGGCAGGGAACACAGCCCATTCGGACTCCATGTCTCCAACCTCCCTCGGAACCTGAGAGAAGCTCTCCCGGAGGTAGGAGTCCCTGACCGAGGGTTCCACCAGACGTTCCCAGCAGACCCTCACTATGCTGCCGAGTTTGGGCCTCCGCCCCTCTCTTCACCAGAGTGTCCAAAGCCATGCGGCCGAAGATCAGAAGATATGACTACAAAGTCGATCATCGCCCTTTGCCTAGGGTGTCCTGGTGCCAGGTGCACCGATGGACATCCTCATGCCTGAACATGGTGTTCATTATGGACAATCCGTGACTTGCACAGAAGTCCAATAATGAGACACCACTCGGGTTCAGAGCTGGGGGCCCATTCCTCCCGATCACGCCCCTCCAGGTGTCACTGTCATTTCCCACGTGGGCGTTGAAGTCTCCCAGTAGAATGATGGAATCCCTGGGAGGAGCGCTTTCTAACACCTCCCCAGGGATGCTAAGAAGGCCTGGTACTCTGTACTGCCATTCGGACAATAGGCCGAAACAACTGTCGGGGTCCTTTTCCACTTTATTCCTCTAAATGATGATATACTGCAACCAGCAGCATGGATAAGATCTCCAACTACTAGGAGCTGGTGTTGGATTTATCTGTATATATATAAAGAAAAAGTGAAAGTAAACCTTGAATCTTTTTGCTATAACAGATCTGAGATCAGCAGAGAAACCTCCATCAGCCACTCCACCCTGCAGCCTCCACATAAACTTTCTGAATTTAAGAATAAACTTTGCTGCAAAGGTCTGAGTGGAACAATATACTGTTTAAGGTGCGGGAAAGTCATTGTTGATCTTGTTCTGATGTTTGAACATCTTTGAGTGGGAGAGGTTTCATTTTAGAACTGGTTCTAACTGGATAAACCCGACTGGCTGCAGGAAGGACTCCTCTAGCCTGTAGCTCCACTCGTCTCTGCTGCCTCTGAGCCAAAGGAGGTCAATGAGAGAGCAGCAGAGCATGGCTGCAGAGGCACAGAGGTTTGTAGTTTGAACAATAGCTGTGGTAACAGAACTGATTTAAAACAAGCTGAACAATGCTCTGGATAAACAGACATCTCTGATGCATGTTCAGTGAGCAGCTGAGGGGTTACTGGATCATTTGTGGTGTTTTAAAGGTTTGAATGCTGCGATTTCCACAGTAGAAGCCCACCAGGATTCATGTCTTTGGACCAGTTTATTCTGAGGTACTTATCAAAAGTTTTTAAAGAACTCATGAGCACAAAGGATGATGGGAATTCCTCTGTACCTACAAGTCAGTAAACGCAGCAGTCGGCCTGATTTAGCCTCCACTGTCCTCCAGTCTGTGCAAATGGATTCATGCTTGCTTGAGAAGAAATGCATTCATTGATACATAAGGAGTCAAAAAAGTGTTCAAACAGCCAGAATGTTTAACTTTACAGACTTTAATGGATTTAATGAAACAGATACACACAGAGGCATTTATTACTGTAAAATAAAATAAAAAACAGATACGTCAGTTATAG